ACTAATGTAGAATTTAAACTGGGAAGTAAAGAATTGAACCAAATATAGTCTAAGTTGCGGTTCCTCTGGAAATTAAACAAAATTCTATACTGCAGAGACTTTTTAGTGGTGAAAATGCTCGTTTCTCTTCCCCCCTTCTAGTGCTGAAAATTGTTATTAGCTAGAAAACTAAGAAAGGTTTGTTATCCCCTTAGGAGCATATATAGCTGCTATTTTAACTGACACGGTGGTCACCCTAGATGCAAGTTAGGCATTGATTCTTAATTCATTTCTGCTTTTCCCGATCCGAAACTTAATGTTATCCTGATGATTTAAATGATTTTGTTATGGCAGTTGTTTGGTGGGAGCTCTACTGGGTAAGTATTTTCACTTTTTCATGCCTCTTATCTTGGCACTTCCAGATTTCCACAAGGTTAAAAAAACTGATTAAATGTCATGTTAATTTAGAGAAATGAGTAAAAATGCTCTGATAAACAAGAAAAAGAGAGAGAAACAAAGGGAGAAGAAGGCTTCTGAAGCAGCTTCTGCTACTACCGATGCCTCATGATCTGATACAGGATCTCGCTGTAACGGCCCTCATTCAATCAAAGCCAACACCTAAACATGGATATTCGGAGGCATTTGCATGAACGCATGGCCTGCAATTGGCTGAGAAAGCTTTGTGAGGTTCATTTTTGAGTCGGTTTTAGCTTTGCTTTTCTACATCTTCACTTGCACAAACTCATCCGGATAGAAGCACAAATTTCTCACTTCTGTTCGTGTTTTTAACTCACATGAGATACGTGGATTATCTGTTACAAAGCATCGGCATGTCATGTTTTGCTTAAATTATTTATCATTTGTGATTAAGATTATCACAAAACTCTTCTGTAACATTCCACTGCCTTTTCATGAAGCAGATTTATACTGATTTACTTGGTAAAAGAATGCAAAAGCGATTGTATTCGAATTATGGATTATCGGCATCTACCAATTCTCGAACTTGAAATTTTTGTATTGGATTATCTTTGAAACAAATGAATGTCTCCAAAATTTGAAGATTCATATTTATTTATTTAGAAAGAATGATTTTTTGTACTGAGGAGCGTACGGGAAATTTGAATCTCCGATCTTATTATATTTGAAAACTAGAGTTACCATCGCATAGTGATCTATTAATTAAAATTATTGTGTTATTATTTGAAGATCACGAAAGCCAATAGCATAGGAATGTCACAAGGACAAAAGCCAAATAAAACAAGAAAAGACAATTTTTCTTAGCCAATTTTTGTCGCCTTGGTAAAAAACATTTTGATTCCCACGTCGTTTAATATGAGACTACATATGAAGATGCTCTACTTCTTTGAAATAATCTTCCTATATACATATATATATATATATATATACACGCCATTTACATACTTCCATAAACATGCATATACATTGATTTTATCTATTCCTTAGTTTAATATATTATAGTATATATAAATATATCCCGTTTTTTATTCTCTTTTAACCAATGCAAAATCTTCAAGAATCATAGGAAATGCAAGTCGGGTTTTTAAGATTTTATTTTTTTGATGACTTTCAATACACGAAATGATAAATATTTATCCAGAATTACTATTTCAGAATCATAACTCGACTAGTTACAACACGGTTAAGTGTAAATACATTTGAAACCAAATGGAATATATATTGTTAATGTAAAAATAACATATTGTCTTTGATGAATGCTAAATTTTTAAAAATTATTATATAAAAATTTCTAAAATGTTATTTATATAAACTAATATGGTAGTCGATATATAAAGAGAAAAATAAGTAAGCTTTTGATAAAAAAAAAAAATACGCACGTTTATTTATTAATTAGTATACATGTACAGATAATAATACAAAATAAATAATTTTTAAATGATGACACAAACGAGATTATTATTTGAATCAAATATGTGATCTTTTATAAAGAAAAATAATATATCAATCATTCAGCTGAGTAACAATTAATTTTTATAAATTAAGTAATTTATCTCATATGAATTCTTGAGTTTCTATACCTTCATCGATTTATAAATGATTTTAGGTTTTCTCAGTTTGTTTTATTCGAGCACTAATATTAAATTTAATTATTTATTAATTTATTTATCTTCTTAGTACAAAATATGTTGAGTTTATGTAATTTTTTTTGAATATAAATATATATATTTTATTAATTACATAATACGTACACTCTCATCATAATATAATATTGTTAAGTAGAAGAAACGAGAACAATTCACCCACGAAAATACTTTTTTGATCTACGTAGTTTAAAATAAATAAATTTAATTATTTTCAATAAATTAATATTCTTTCCTTATGTATAAAAAATTAAAATTATTTCATATAGTCCAAAACTTCAAACACATAGAATAATGGGAGGAAAATCCTATATATATACTCAATCTACACTAAATTACACCAGTTGTTTTGGCGGCGTTAATTAACTTATTATCTTTCAATATTATCAGCATATATCATTAGATATTACCTCAATATAATATATATTCACCATACTATGATTTCTTTAATAAAACAAAAAAATGATATAATTCAAAGTGCACAATCTATGAATTGCCTATAAAAATGCTCCACATCCCTCATCCATAGAAAAAATTTTAGCATCTTTGGGCATATTATATATTTTCATAATGGAGAAGAAGAAGATTGTTGTTCCTTCTGCCACTGATTATAATCTTTCAGACCCAGAAAACTATACACCATCCTTTCTGAAATTTGACGATAAAGCTATGGAGTTCATAGTGTATATTACCTTCTCGACTTGTATCGTTCTCATGTTACTTCCTTATAGTTATGTAGATGGGAACCCGGTTCCCGTTATCATCTTCAATGATCTTCGACCTTTTGCATTCCACGCTTTTGTTTTGTTCATAATTTTTGCGTTCTCTGGTGCCTTCAACGCGATCTTGGCAAAAAATAAGCCGAGATTAGTGAGGTTTTGTCGGTGTTATTCGATGGTTTCAATGGTTTTGGCCATGACAGTGCTTGGCTATGCCACCATTTTGTCCAGCTTGAGGTGGGCGTCTGGTCAGTTTCAGATTGGAAGTGTCATGAGATCTTGATCAATGAATGGCATTCTGCAGTTTGCTAGATGTTTAATAATGTGAATAACAATACACTTGGATAATCTTACCCTTCATATATATGTATTTATATGTGGCCATAAATAACAGTGTATAAGATCACTAAGTCTTTGTATATACATCGGGTATGTGATTATTGCTGATAATAGTTCAAATATGTCACACCCAATTGAGAATATATACTATGAATAATGGGTTGTATGTGATTATTGCTAATAATAGTTCGAGTATGTTACACCCAATTGAGAATATACACTATGAATGATGGCTTGTATGTGTGATTATTGCTAATAATAGTTCAAGAGTGTTACACCCAATCGAGAATATATACTATAAATAATGGATTGTATGCGATTATTGCTAATAATACTTCAAATATGTTACACCCAATCGAGAACATATACTGCAAATATAATGGGTTGGATTCTACTAGTCTTTTTTTCAAATTAAATTCGAGCATAGAGTAGAGAAAATTTGTTTTTAATTCACTTTCAGTTTGATAATTAGTGTCAAATAGAGTAATTAAACTTAGTGAATAAGATATTGATCTCTTCATTAAAGTTTTAAGATACTGCATTAATCGGTTATTTCAGAAATAGGGTAATGATGAAGATCATGGACTACTGCTCAAACTTACATGTAATGGAATTAGAGTTCAAGTACTATGCATTTATTCACGCCATTTCAATGCAGAAAAAGTGTTCAGAGCAGGAAATAATTGAGTGGGTGATTTCTTTAAAGCTGATATACGTAGTATATCTATACATATGACTCGATTTCATGTTTAACAGGGGCTAGTACTTCATAATATTCATTCATGTAGACATAGCGACCACTTTATATATTACTGTATTCCTTGATTATGTAGAAGTTTATACGTGTATTAATTATACAGTACAAAAACACCAATTATAATACAATAGAGAAGTTTATATATTTGAACTCAGTAGTTTTGTATAAAGGAATGCATGATGTACTCCTTTTTCATCATATATTCCATAGAATGTTTATATATTCTAACTTAATCGGGGTTGATTGATAAAACCCGTGCTTATTAATACTTAGAACATATATATATATATGGAGACTCTCATTGTTTCTCTCTTTTTCATTATTCTTGCTGATGCACAGCACTTTTCAGTCGGAGCAAACTGCCGCAAAAGCTAGCAAGCAAGAAACAGAAGCAAGGACAAAGACGACCCAACTGAGCTTTTGCGGGAGTAAAGCAGCCATGGTTCCCAGAAACCCTAAGGCAGCACCGGCGGAACCGATCCCTGCCGCCATTCTCGCGGCCTTTGGCATCTTTTGCTTCAGCAATATCGCAGCTGAAAACCCAATAAACCCAGCTGCGCTTCCTCCCATGATCGAATACTGCTGCACTAATGGCGGGCTAGAAGGAAAGTTAGACCACGCGGACAGTACTGCATGTTTAAGAGTAGCCATTGGAGCTTTTCGGGGGAGCTAGATATATGTGTGTACATATATGTATGTGCGAAAAGGTGACGGAGAACTGTGAAGGATTTATACAGGAATTGACGGGTTTGATTTGGATCTGAGAGCATCGTATTGGTAAGAATTAAGGGTGATCTTGAATTCTTCGTCAGCTTGGAAATGAAAACCAAAGTTGGGCCTTTGGTGTTTTCTAGGATTCTTGAGTTTGTTGTGTATATATGTATGTATATACTACTAATCATTAATTAATTAGTGCAACGCAAATTAACAAGTGAATCTACTAGCCATGAAATATTCAATTGAAAAAATATTGGAGTAATAAAACGGGCAGTATGAGATAGAGCGAGTTTCACTGAAAATCCCCCTCGCCCCCCCCCCCCCCCTTCCCCTCTCAATACATATAAAATTATATTTTCATAAATCTATTCCTGAGTGTGGAATGGTTTTGAGATATTATATTTTGTACTTGGTGTGGAGTTTGTTTTCGATAAAATCTACCTCAAATCCGCTCTATTACTATCACCAACGATAGTGGTGAAGACAACAATAATAAAAACAATGATAGTAGTAGCGGTACAACAACAATAATGTGAATAGAGCTCTATGTGTTGAACCGTATATATTGTTAAGAATGAAAAGATAACGATATTAATAGTAATCATAATAGAACTAATAGTAATAAAGACAACGATAATAATAATAATAATAACAGTAACAATAACAATGATGATAGTAATAAATATAATAGTACTATGAATAATAGTAAAAATAGTAATAGTGATAGCCGTAATGACATATATAACAATAATGATGGTATAAATGATGATAGTGATAACAATAACATAATAAATAAATTTGGTTTAACGATAGCGAAGGTGACCGCAATGGTATTAGTGGTGATAGTCCTAAAAAATAATTATGTTGATTACAATAACAATAATAGTAGTGATAACGATGATGGTAATAATAAAAAAAGTAACTATAACAATATTTGTGGTGATAATAACAATAGGAGTAAATACAAAGACAATGATGATAAAAATTTCATATTATAAAATTAAAAAAATTGGAAGAGATATATTTTAAATATTATATATATCTACTGATCGTAAACATAAATTTTTTTTTGTTCTTTAAATATACTTATGTATTTATTAATTAAATGATATATATGCACAAACCAATCATAATATATAAAAAAATAATATATAAACGAGCACATAGATCGAAGCACGACCCATTAAAAAAAATGAGGTCTTTTAATGTATAGATAAAAAAATTATTATGGTTTTTTTTTATTTTCTAAAAAATGATGGTGAATAATTTAAATTATATTAAAAATGTATATTTTAAAAGTTTAATATTTATAAATATCTGTATGTACATTTTATTTAATTAAATATAAACATGAAATTTCTAAAAAAATTAACTTGTTAACAATCAAATTCTAAATTATAAACTAAAATAAGTAGAAGAGAGTATTAATAAATATGTAGACACTAATTTTTGACCCACATGAACTAGATTTTGAGATAAGTGTGCAGCAGACTCAGGTACAAGAACATTCCATCCTCATTCCACTCCCTCCATTTTTCCTCTTACGAACTCCTTTCTCTGGTCACCTTCCTCATAACCCACGGAAAAAAAAAAAAGAAAGGTACCGGAAAGTTTAGGGCTTGTGTTGTTTGGTTCTCGAGAAAATTGGATAAGAATGTTAACGGAAGACGGGGATTTTCTTGTCTTGTCACTATGGGTTCTTTATATATTTCGTGTTTGCTATTTATTCACCTGGGAATTTAATAGTGTTTATATCTATGGTTGCTGGGTTCCTTATCTTGTCGTTCTAGTAGCTTAAAGTTTAGGGCTTTTATGCTTTTCTGGGTTCTCGACGTGTCTCTGTTAAATTGGGGAACGGGAAATTTAATGATAGTATCAATTTTGCTTTCTTCTTCGTCTTTCGATTTTTATTTTGGTGGCATTTACGGGTCTTCATATTTGTTTTGTATTGTTGCCTTGTAACTTTTTCAGGACCTTGCATTGTTTAGAGTCTCAATTTTCATGGAGTCGTGTTAGCAGGGAGCCATTTCTATGAATTCATGGCGTGCTGTCAGTCTTCTCAGCTTCACATATGGAGGAGTCTTTGTTGCTTATGGAGAAATGATTCGAGGATTAAGATGGTTGGAAATTTATTAAATTCTCGAAAATTAGGTCTGGTTCATCCTCCATTATCTCGGTCTTTGAAGGTAATAATACAATTCAGAGGCCTTTGTTTTATTGTTTACTAGCATTCTTTCTCATGTATCTTTTCACTGTGTCTAGGTAGTTGCTGAATATTTTCTATTTTTTGTTTTCTAGGTTGATGTGTGTGTGTGTATGTATATACACACCCGCCACACATTATGGATACTTTTAATTCAGGAATGTAGGCAAAAGATGAATATTTGCATAGCAATTAAACATAAATAAAATAATTTTTTACAATACACAAAAAAATACATAAAGGTAATAGTTTCATGGAAAATACTCAATAATATTTTAAAATTTTCAACCTTTGTAGTCATTCTCATTGTGGATGAGAACCATATAAATGTAGTAAATAAAACTAAGAAAATTTATGTTTACGAAATGCAACATTAGTTTTTTCTTTTAGTGATTTTGTTCTTAATGGACTAGCTTCTAATATATGAAGTCTTGTCTTGTCATGTCTCTACTGTGGGTATTTTGCTTTCATGGAATTCCATTGAAAACCACTGCTTAAATTATTTTAACGGGATTGGAATTTTCATTGATGTTTATGTTCACCAGTCATAGACTTGCTTAGTTGGCTTCACTGACATTGTTTACCATACCTGAATGTTTGTTTTTAGGGTTCTATCTATGCATCAACTTATTCTTTCTGTTTGTTACCTGTACTTTCTAATCAAATTTCGTCCATTTTTTTAATGGAAGTTGGTGTAACCTTGCTATTGCATTGGTGTAAAAGCTTAAGCCTGCTTTCTGATACCAGCCATCTACCTGTCATTTGTTTTCCAGGACTACTGCAATGTATCTCATAACCTAGAAGCGGATATACCTGCAACGTCTCAAAGTGTTATAATTTCTTCTAAAAATGAACCAAAGCTACCTCAAGAGGCAATTCTTGGTTCGTTTAAACACGAACAAAGGGTAAATGCAGATTCTTCAAATGGTCGAGTGATGCTTATTGATGGCACTGCAATCATCTACAGAGCTTACTTTAAGCTTTTAGGTGGGTTTTTTAATTATGTTTCATTTGTTTGTATCAAAATTTTTTAGTGTAACTTGACTTCAAGTTGTTTTGTTTACATAATCATTCAGGTTGCCATGATTGTTTGGGTTTGCTTTTGGCTTACCCTTGTTAGATCTTTATTGTCCTGAAGTCCAAAGGAATCCAAAGGAACATACACTTCCTCAGTTTTGCTTCACTTATTTATTTATTTATTTATTGTTTTAAAAGAAGGCTAATACAATTCTCCCCCTGCGCCACTGAAACCAAAAAGTATAAGCTACTTAGCTTAAAAACAAACAAAGAACACCACTCTATCTGAAAGCAACACAAAGTTGTGGATATAAGGACACCAAGATTAGGGAGATGAATGCAAATGCCCCAAATGTGGAAAAGATTACAGTGCATACCCTCCAGTCTATCTCACAGTACAAAAGAAACAAGTGAATATTAAACTCTGACTTGGGCAACTGCCATGGAAAGCCTCTATTGTAGATACTTTTGTTACTCTCCAGGAATACCGTCTGCCTATTACCTCCCTTGTTTGGCTCCCTTAGCTCGAGGATCTTTTTTTTTTTTGGGTAGAAGAAGAAATTTATTGAATTAGAGGGAAAAAAAATGATACAAGTAAGGAGAATATAGAATAAATCGGAATGCAATTATAGAAACAAAAGAATAAAAAATTGGGCCTCTTGAGAGCCAAAAATAATGATTTTCCAATTCTGGTGTAGGTGAGAAATCACTTTGTTAAAGTAGCTCCCATGGGCGTTTATCCTTGTATATGGTTTTGGATGGAATGTTTTGGTTTTTCATCCTTTGGAATTCCCTTGTATGAGTGGCGCCCCTTGGTTCTTGTTTAGTACCTTTTTATCTAGAAAAAAAGCATTTTTTGATTAGCCAATATGTTTATATGCATCCCTCATAGTCTCATGGAGAAAGCTTCTTTGTTCACTTTTAGCAACCTTGTAGTAATCCAGGTAAAGAGACAAAAGAAACAGCTAAGATGCTAGAAACGTTTCTTTAGTGTGAGCTTTCCTTTGAAAATTGAAAGGTAATATTGCTTCCTATAGGTTAAAAGTCAAACTCTGGACTTGAATCAGCTTTAAAAAGAATCTAACTGGCTTGCAAAGAAAATTTAATATATTTTCCGAGGCTTTTGGTCCTGAACTTGCTTTCCATTTATGACTTGCTATCTATTGATGGTAACTAGCTTCCTGTATGATACTACTTCCTCTTATTGCAAAGGTGTAACCTTTAACTCAACTGACCAATATATTGTTGATTTCCTTACTACTGTTCCATTATTGGAATTTTCTTTTGCCTCTTATTAGCAAGGTTGCACCACGGTCATCTGTCACATGCTGATGGCAATGGAGACTGGGTTCTAACTATATTTTCAGCTTTATCTCTCGTAAGTGATGTACGGGTGCATTGTATATATTTTATTTTCTGGTCTTACTATTGACACATGATCGTCAGTTTTACTTGATTGAAGTAAGATAATATTTTAGCTTAAGGATTTAGTGGCAAATTTATATGAATTACTGGTAGTCAAGTTGTTAAGATCTGAGCTGTTCTCTTCCAATTTCTTTGGCAGATAATTGATGTTCTGGAGTTTATCCCTACCCATGTGGCGGTATGAAATTTTTTTCTTTCATCTGCTTTCATTTTTCTCCATGAAAGTTCAATGTTACGTTTCAATTGTGTTTTTCTGGTGTCTGACATTTAATTCAGTGGCTTTGATATTATTGTCAAACTATCCTTGTTATTTGTCCTTTTGGTGTATATGTGATAGAAACATGAGGAGAAAAGAAGTGTAAAGAATTATATGAAAAAAAAAGGTGTCGGCAGAAGCCTTTTTGTGCAAAAATTAATTTCCTAAGAATTCAAGCTTATATAATTAATTTCTGTTCCTAATATTTGTGCTTTAAACTATGTTAATAACCTTTCCTGAGATGTATTTTTTTTGTTCAAACCTGATAAATTTTCTCATATTAGACATCTAATTGCTACATGTTGTTTAGTTTTATTCTGTTAATTTTCTATTAAATACAATTTGATTCTGGCTATTGAATCTGCAGCCCATTAGATGATATGTGGGTATTATTTACATGAATGGAATGCAGGCAGCCTTTGTGTTTTGTCTCAACGGTGGTGCAAAAGTAAAATACAGCATGCATGGTCAACTTTGTTAGCAATTTTGTCTTGTGGGAGAGAAATGCTTTTCCCCCTTTCTTTTTTGTTAGTTTTTCCTTGCATTTTCTTTTTATGTTGTTTTACTGATAATGGGGTAATGTAGTTGTTTTTCTTTCCTTTAATTGTTTCATTCGTGCTTCCTTTAGATAGTGTGGTTTACAGGTTCTTTTTGCATTTGCATGCAGGTTGTCTTTGATCATGATGGTGAGACATGAAGTTTCAGAATTTTTTTCTGACCCGGTCAATATGATATTGCTTCTTGATTTGCTATGTTTGGGAGTTAGGAGAGAGCAAGGGGCACATTAATGGAAGAAAAGGGAAGGAGAGGAATGGGGCACATAAATGGAAGAAAAGGGAAAGAGAGGAAGGAGAAGATATGAAGGGAAAGGGGAAGAGAGAGTGAGGGGATTATATTTCTCCTCTATTTGGATGTTTCACAAAATTCAAAGAGAGAGGAAAGGAAAAAAGGAGAAAAAATGCATTTATTATATGTTAGTTGATAATATTAATTAGGGATAAAATGGTTACAATGATAGAACTATAAACGAGGAGCGTGATAGGAGTGTGCTCATTCTAAAGGGTATTGAAGTTGGTTATGGGGTAGGGATGTGATCTTTAGCTTGGTAGAAGGGAGGAGAGAACTGGAGGCAGAGCTCTATTGGTCAAAGGTGGAATCGGGCTAAGAGCTAGAGATATATAAGGATGTAAAGAGAAACACAGTTTTGTCTTAGGGGTATTTTGCACCTGTGGTGGGTGCAAAATCAAGCTTGAAGTGAGGTTAGTGGTGGGTAAGTGGAAGTTATCTGGACGTGATGGTAATGGCAAGACGTTGTTAGTTTGGGCACTTAAAAGTTAGTAACACGCGGAAGAAGGAGAATACAAGGCCTTTTAAATTTCAAAGTCAACCTAAGGAGAGGAGAAAGAGGGATGTTGATGAACCCAAGTCTATGGTGAGAAGGTTCATGAAGCCTATATTACAACCTACTGATTCTAATCTAAAACAAAAGGACATTGTAAGAAAATGAAACTTGAATGATCAGCGGCCCTAAGAGTGCTTAGCTGTATGAATTTAGGAGTATTGTTTTTGGGTTCTTGGATTTTCCCAAGTGTTTACGATAGGGGAAAAGGTAGTGGGAGAAGATTGTTATGTGGCATCTTGCCTCCTTTGCTAGGACTTGAATAGTGTTAAATGGGGATGCATTCCTTTCGATTCGAGAACAAATGGTAAGAAACTCGAGTTTTGCAATCTTTTCGAATGTGGTGGGAGGAAAGGGAGCATGGGGGCTATGCAAGCTTCAGTATTGCTAGGAAGCTCAATCATGTGAGAGCTGTTAAAGCAATGGAGTAAAAAGATATGCAGCACTATGGTCTTTGAAAGTGAGGTACTCTCCTAGGGAGTTGAAAGCCTAGATCAAAAGGATGCTTTAGCAAAACTTTCAAATGGTTAGAGGGAGAGTTAGAAGTTTGGCTAGTCTTTGACTTAGCGACTCTCCTAGGGAATTGAGGGTATAGATCAAAAGGATTGCTTTGGTTGGTCTTTCAAGTGGTTAGAGGGAGAGTTAGAATTTTGGCTACCCCTGGCTTAGTGAATCTGCTTGCCTAGGGTGGTCTGGACTTAAAAGAAAGGATCTTAACACCAAGTTCTTCCATATTATTTCCAATTATCAATGTAGAAGCAAGTATATTCGTAAACTTGTGATATTGGGGGGGTGGGGGGTGTGTTTGTTCCAATAAGATGCTCTGGAGGATGTAGTATAGGCCTCTATAGTAATCTTTATTTTGAACTAGAGTTGTGGAAACCCAAGTTGAAGGAGTTGTAGTTTGATATGTTGTGTGCGGAAGAAGCTAGTGAGTCAAAATATTTTGAAGAGGAGAACCAATGATTTTTTTCACAAAAAAGAGGAGATCCAATGATGTATAACCGTTAAGGGAAAGAAATGTTACACGGAAGTTGATTGAGAGAAATAGGAAGGCTATTTTACCATTACTAATTTTCTTTGATAATTAGTTTACTTTCCCTTATATAGTCTGGCTGCAATTGGGGCATGCGATTTTGGGAATTTATCCAGGGGATGTGATCCAAATGTCTAAGGAGTTCTATTTTTTTCGAGTTCATTTGCGTGCCTTATTTTTTTGGTTTTGATTTCGTAGATTGAAGGAGCAATGAAATAGCTCTACTTGGATGTTGCCTCAGAAGCAAGTTTGGAGTAAGTTGCTTGCCTCTTTGGTAAAAATTGGGTTTGCCCACTCAATCTTGTGAATTTTGTTCTACCCATTTGAGGCATGGGTGAAGCATAGAGCATAAGCACTTTGGGGAGAGGTTCCACTGGTTCTTGTATGTTGGATTCTCTGGTTGGAGCAAAAATTAGTATTTTCAATCAATTTGTTAATATTTTGCAAGCTATTTGGGACTGATTGATGGCCTCTTTACGGGTTAAGATGCATGGCTTTTTTTTGCTTTGTCGACTATAACAAGGTATTGGGAGGCTGCCTTACAATAATTGGCTCCCATTTCCTTTTTTATTCTCTTTCCTTTCTGTTTCTTTTCTCTTTGTTTGAAGACATCTTATCCTCTTCTATTTTTATTCTCTTTCCTTGTTGATATACTCTTCTTTTTCTTTATAAAAAAATGATCGAGAGAGCAAAGGATATAAAGGAGGGACTTTAGATCCATTCATCTGGTGGATAGAATGTATTAATTATCAAAGTTTTGCCTAATAGATTGTGGTGAAATCCTTGGTGAGGTATTCATTGCTAGAGTGGGTTCTTATGTAAATTGGATATAAATAAAGCCTATGATCATGTTTCTT